ATGTAAAGAACAAATATTTAGAATGGGTAAGATGATAGAATGAAAAATGTGAAGCATGAATGGGTTAAAGGTTGAAATTTCAAATTGATGTTTCTAAACGCCATGACTGTTTTTACCACATATCTGATCCTTTTTATTTATGGAAACTCATGAAATTACTCAATGTGAGATTCCTTATCATGAACAAGGTTCCAAGCCCAAAGTATAGCTTGGCTAGGAAATATTAAGCGTTCTTTGAAAGCATGTTAACTTGAGAATAAGAATTTCCAGAATTGTGATTGTTCTTGTATCAAAATGTTCGATGGCCAAATGGGACCAAATCGGTTCCAATTCAAACACATATATGTCTACTCCAAGTTTACTTTTTATGCATGATAAAATTGTGCATGGATTAAAAGATACGGCCCAAGATGTCGAGACACGGCACCGCTCACAGTCGCTGCTGATTTCAGCAACTGTGGCCGTCTTTGGGCTGTGCTTTTGACCCAGCAAATGGTACCCACAAAACCTTTAAATTGCCACCATCGGAAAGGTCTATGAATGTACTCAAAGTTGCATGTTTTTGAGGTTTTTTAATTATGCCCCGAAATGCGCGATCATGTCATTACGCACTGTTGTAGGGAAGATTTTCAGCAACTAATGCTCACTTCGTGCTGAGCTATTGACCCATCAAATGACACCCAAATTCTTTCAAATTACCGTCTTTGTAATGCTCTGCGGGTAAGCTTAAAGCTTCATGTTTGAGGCATTCTGAAACTCCCCCAAGATTGGGAGCTACACCCTTGCAAGAGTGGCATGTCACTGTTACATGTCACTTTACCAGTTTTATATCCATGCAATCTTAAGCTTTCTTGACATGTGATAAATGTGAATACCATATGATGAATGTCATGTGAATGCCATAACGATATGTGGATAATGTCTTGTGACTGCGCTATGTGAGAAACAGGGGCCACAAGCACAATAGTGATGAAATGAATTCATAAATGAATGCTAATTACTACTGAGAAGACTTATGTGCAAATGCCCTGTGAAAGCTCATGAAATAAATGACTTTTGCTAAATAATATGATGAAATATGATTCATCTGTATGAGACATCGACTGATGTGAATGAATTGAATGCTTGAACATGATGGATGGCCATTGCTTATATTGATATTGACCATTACGAGGTGGGACACTCACAGGTAGTGGATACTGTTATGACATTGTGATGGATGGCCATTGCTTATATTGATATTGAACATTACGCGGTGGGACACTCACCGGTAGTGGATACTATTTTGACATTTTGATGGATGGCCATTGCTTATATTGATATTGACCATTACGCGGTGGGACACTCACCGGTAGTGGATATTGTTATGACATTGTGATGGATAACCATTGCTTATATTGATATTGACTATTACGCGGTGGGACACTCACCAGTAGTGCGTACTGTTATGACATTGTGATGGATGGTCATTGCTTAAATTGATATTGACCATTACATATTGGGACACTCACCGGTAGTGGATACTATTATAATATTGCCAGATACGCGATGGGACACTCATCGGTAGTAAGGGAAGTGATGTCGGCATATCCCCTAACCTGCATAATGATAGGAACGGGTTAAGGGAAAGGATAGAGGGCGCACCCTAGATTCATGAAATGAAATAAAATGATTGATGCCTTGCAAGGTAAGGGCCTATCGAACCCCCAATGCGCGTTGGGGACTGTGTGAGTATGTTGAGGGTATTACGAAGTGGGTTACCCCAATTGTCACCCCTCCCTGCTGTATGATGGTAGAAGTCTTAAGCAATGGGATTGGATTAGCTAGATGGATAGGACTTCTACTGCGGGAGTAGGTGACTTAGGGAGTGAGTGGGTAATGATAGGAATTCTGAATAAGGAACGTTTAGGATTGCACTGATTGAATGTTAATGATTTCACTAATTGAATGCTCATGATCGCACAAATTTAGTGATAACTGCTGTGTAAATGAAATGTTCATACTCGCTGTCTTGATCTAATACTCATATGTGCTAAACTATGATTTTATATTGATAAACTGAACTGTTATTACACACGGATAGAATCACTACAGATGCATAACACTAGATCTACTTACTGGGTTGTATAGCTCATTCCATTATTTCTCCTCTCCTTGTAGATTAATAGCGACAGGTTCAGGGCTTGGAGCTCGTGTTTTGCGGCGAGAAGTTGAAGTTAGATTTCACGAAGAAGGTGCTTAGATCTTGTTTATATCTGGGTTGTTTGACGCTAGGTTTTTGTTCTTGTTGATATATGTAATATTGGGCCTAGACGCCCTGAACTGAGTGTAACATTTTGGGATATATATATATATATATATAATGGATTTTTGGTGTTTGGGATTGTCTATGTTCACCTGCTAGTTGAGTATTTGTTGTAGTTCTTTTTCCATGATTTGCTCGATTACCAAAAATAAAAGCGTTGAGTCCGCTCCTTCTTGAGTGACAAACGTTATATTAGATCACGAATCGCTCGTCGCCGCGTAAGGTACGATGGTCGGGGGCAGGGTCGTGACAATAAGCCTCATCATATGCATCAGATTCGAGGCCATCATCATCAAAGTCATCTCCCTCTTCAATATAACACTCTTCCTCCTCTATTTCTTCTGAATCTGCATCTTCCTCCTCCTCTTCTTCTACCTCCTTCTTACTATGTGCAAATGAGGCCGTAAGAGTCTTGGCTGCTCTACCCCTTTCTATCTTTTTGTGCTTCCCTAAACTCAAATATTGTATAATCTCCTCCCTAGTAGCCTCAAAACATTTTTACATGGAGCAACATCTCTCTTAATACCGGTAAGGTGTTTTTGAATCGATAAATACCCCCATTAGTATCTTTCAAACAGTAATTACATTTAATATGATTTTTTTCATTCGGATTCGGGTTATAACCATACTTCCAACCCGGATCACCACTTTTAGAAGAACCTAGAGAAGACATTTCCATAGAACAAGGCTCATTTTTCATTCCTTTCTGGTTCTTCTAAATTCAGAAATTGTCTAATCTCATCCCGAATAGCTTCAAAAACTGTTTTACAAGAAGCAATATTCTCTTTAATACCAGCAAGGTGCTTCTTGAATCGGTTAATACTCCCATTGGTATATTTTTCAAAAAACTTACACCGTATACAATTTTTATCGTTTGGTTTCGAGTTATGACCATACATCCAACCCAGATCACTTCTTCTGACAGAACCAGAAATAGATCTATTCAAATGACAAGGATTTTGTTCCCCTTTTTGTTTTACAAAACTCATAGATTGCTTAATCTCCTCTCTAATAGCTTCAGAAACAATTTTACAAGGGGCAACATCCCCTTAATATGGGCAAGATGTTTCTTAAACCGGTTTATGCCCCATTTTGTATATTTTTCATAATAATTGCATCTAATGCAAATTTTTTCATTTGGATTCGGGTTATATCCATATTTCCAACCCAGATCTCCATTTCAACTAGATACTGAAAAAGACATCTCAAAACAAAACAAGGAAACTAAAAAATAAAGTTTTGCACTTACTTTAATTGCTCGAACTCCAAACTTCCACCTCTAAGATGTTTTCTGGTGTTAAAATATTCAAAAACACCCTCTAATAGGATTAAAAAACTCCAAAACTAAATCTAATCTACCTGGGTGATGTTTAAATCAATTTTTTGTAACTTTGAGAAGCACTTCGATCTAATGAAAATCACAAAATCTAGCTTTTATTTATGTTTCTCTCTCTCTCAAATGGGTTCTTGTGGGTTTAGGTTTCAAATGAACCTAAAACCCACCCGTAAAAGCATTTATTTTTCAAAAATACTCAATAGAATAAAAAAAAAGGGGTTATTTCTGCCCTTGGGCGGCCGTCCCGAGCTAGGTGTTGGGCGCCCTCCTAAGCGGGTGCCATACCGCCCAGGGACCACCACCTAGTTTTGCTGCCTAGGCATGGGCTATGCGCCCAAGCCTTCTGGACCGCCTAGGTGACCCGCCTAGGTGCTAGGCTGTCCACTTTTTGAACCACTGCTTATAAACTTTCCAATTTGTCATAAAAAGTTTTAAAGAATATATTCAATTTGGAGTTGAAAATTTCGACCATAATCCACAGGCTAAAGTCATTACTTGGTCCACCATTCTACTCTATTAAAGATCATACCCTCAGTGAGGCCATAAGTCCCCATATCTTTATCACTACTTTTAAACATGTCTTTTTGGACCTACCCCTGGCCCTTTTTAAGCCTTCCACTTGAAACAGATATCATATATCCCAGATTCATGAGAAGTTTTGTCAAAATTTTACGTTGGCTACCTACCTAACATAACCCACACTTTGTACCCAAGCTTGGGACAGCACAAATGAAAAGTTTAAGGTCATCCCCCTTCTTAGACCATACTCATTCCAAACTTAAAGATTCAAATAAAGACTAGGTGCATAGCCATTGGGATGCATAAATGCAAACCCCAATAAGTTATCCTACTCTTTTCAAATGAAAACTGCCCTTGTTGGAGCGGATATTTAAGGGAAGGTCTCCCAGAATATAAAAAGTCCAAAAGATAATATAATCCCTACATCCTTTGTCGTATTACTGATATTCAGTCATTGTGCCATTAGTTCAAGCAGTAAAAATGCAATCCACCATAGACTTAAAAAAGACTATAAGCCATCAAGTCACGGACCCTAACACATGTTCCTCTGGAAGGCTTCCATTTGCTTTCTCGTAGTAGGAAAAGAAATTGAAAATGGTGTTTCGTATTTGTATTAGAAATTAGCTTATTAAGCTAAAGATTAATCACATTTGGGGACCCTCAAGGTGAACGAACATAAAATAATTAATCCTCATATGACATATAACTCTACTTTAAGTGAATCAAGCACATAGAATACCAGACTCTACTCTGAAATTGTTAAAGCGTTCGAATGTAAGAAGCATCATCATATTGAAAGATAGTAGTGGGAGAGAGGGGAAAGGAATAGGGGAAGCGTACCCAGGCAATGACAATGGAACCAGGTTGAGGAACCGATCCATGGGCCTTGTGACGCACAACTTCGATGGTGGGTTTCTGAAAAGCACCAAACACGCTCAGTGAGAGAAAGAGAGAAAGGACCTATCGAGAGCAGGGACGCAAGCTTCCGAGTGCACGCTTTAGAGACTTTAGAGAGAGAGAGAGGGGGGTTGTGAAGAAGCAGGGAAGCAGGTCTAGAGAGAGAGAGAGAGAGAGAGAGAGAGAGAGAGAGACGAGGAGAGAGACGTAGGTCGGTACGGGACGGTAGGGTACGGAGGTAACGGAGGTACGGTACGGTACGGGGGGTACGGTAGGAACGGTAACGGAACGGTA